CTAATTTGGGCAGAAATTAGCTATAACCTGGGTAAGTTTCAAATATGATGGACATTACCAATCTACCCAGTTTTAAGGTAATGGATAAATAAATATGGAACGCAAATGTCTGTATTTATTTTCGACAATTAATATTGAACATTATGGTGGTATGTATTTATATTTCAATTTTAACTGCTATAATATTTGTACCTACATATATTTAATTTATTTGACTGCACGGATGGCGTAGTGGTTTAAGCGGTCGCCACGCCGCTCACTACTACGCCGAGTGTTGTGGGTTCAAACCCCACATGGGACGACTCTTTGTGTGATCCACAAATTGTTGTTCTGAGTCTGGTTATGTCCGTTTCATGTATGTTTGTAAAGTCCCCCGCGACACAGGATATATTCCCAATGCGGGCGTTGTCTTTTATAAATTAAGCTATAATATAATATAACATTTCGCTTTATGCTTTGTACGTAGACCGCTTACATTCTCAAGGAGGCTTAGCTTAAGCGATCGGTCACAAAAGAAAAAAAATCGGTTGTCTGTAAAGTCGGTTTACTGACGATAGTTGAACGAGACAACATCATAAGAAAATACTGATGGAATGGTTGCATTTTTGAAAAATGTATTATTGTATACGAGTAGCAGCTGTCCACGCGGACGCATCGCTCACTTAAGTAGGAGAGAGACAGATGTCGAACGCTGCCGAACGCGGAGGCCGATTGTGCCTCTTTGTCACTCGTTAGGCGCTCTCGCTTGCACTTCACGCCTTAAATGGAACGCCTCAGAGCGAGGTAACGCCGCATGAGTCATGTTTTTCGTGCGTGCAGCAGGCTCCATTGAATTACAAGACGTTGTCACGTCAAAATGCCAATGTGGCCATAGTCATTTTGCAATGAAATGAAAGAGTGCGTGAAAGAGGACGTTGAGAGATCAATAAGAATGGAAGCACAAAACTCACAACGACGACCTTAAAAGATTGAGGAAAAGGTTAAGAAGAGGAGAAGACGATAATTCATTAAAATATTTATTTCTGTAAGTAAATAAATCTTCTCAGATATTTGTACGAGTCGAATTATAATTATATTTACTTTATAACATTCATTAGTATACAAACGGACCACTTAACTCCATTTTACTGGACTGCTGTCTAGTGCGAAGTGTTCCTGACTGCTGAAGCCAGAGGTCGTAGGTTCGATTCCAACCCAAGACAAATAACTGTGTGATGTGTGTGACAGTTTGTTCTGTGTCTTAATAAAAAATAAACTCAAACTCAAACTCAAACTTTCTTTATTTCATAAAATTTCCAAAATTGATTGAAATCGTCTTCCATGTAGACTCTAAAGTCATAGATCAACACACACAAAAGCAACAATCTCTGTTTTGTCAAATAGTAAGCAAATAAATTTAACAAAAATCAAACCCATACAAAATCTATGATATGCCTGTGCCGATCTACAACCGCCCGTTTCCAAGGGGTTGAGCCTTATGAGAAGAAAGGGCAAACAAACTCATGGCCACTCTTTTGCAATTCACAGATAGATACAATGGCACTATTAAATATATCACAACATTGTTTTAATGTGTGCTAGTATGTTCGTTATTAAGGACTAAAAGGTGAAAAGACAATGAAGAGAAAACAAGATTAAGAAGAAAAAACGAATACAAGAGAAAATGAAGTGAAACATAAAAAATAGAAATAATAATAATAAACAGACTAGTCACACCACATTTTTACTTAAGAAAGAAATAGCCTGCGCTAATTAATCCCAAGCATTCTTGTCCTCCATGTAATCCACAATCGAGTAGTAGGCCCTCTGGCACAAGCCACGTTTTATTGCGGATTTAAATTTGTTAATACTCAACTCCTGAATATTATTTGGGAATTTATTATGAAATCGGACACATTGACCTCGAAAAGACTTGTTTAAAGTGAAGACAACTCCCGCACCAGGTATATAATCCTGTGTCACGGGGGACTGTTTAACATAAATGAAATAAGCACAAAGAACACCCAGGCCCAGGAAGACAGTTTGTGGATCACACAAAGTGATGTCCCATGTAGGAATCGAACTCACAACACTCAGCGCAGTAGGAAGCGGCGAGGTGACCGCTAAACCACTACGGCATTCAGTCGGTAGTGTCACTGGTCAGGATTCGAACCCACGACCTCTTGATCGCAAGTCCAATGCCTTAACCACTAGGCTACCGCCGCTTTTGATTGGACGTGAATATCTTAATATGGTAGTGTTCGTACCTTCTCTATATAAAGCAAGTTCTGGAATAAAATAATTGAATCACTGTCACCTCTGGTAACTTGTGCCCTGAATCATATTTGCTACCTACGTGTGATTGTACATGTACAGTTCATTGTAACAGTCGTGTAAATAAAGTTATAACATTACAAAACGATTTTTGGGCAAAAGTTACTCGTGGCTAAGTGGTTACCGAGTAGCTTAACGAAAGTTAAGCAATCTTAGCCGGGTCAGTCTATGGATGGGTGACCATTATTAACACATTGAGACCCCTTAATGCCTCGGAGGCCACGTTAAGCCGTCGGTTATTGTTGCCATTTGAACAACTGTGACAATCGTTACGAGTACATAGCTGGAGCCCTAAAAATGCCGACCTCAGAACTTCGATATCGCCTAGTACCTACTTAGGTTGTGAAGGTTTGATGGCAGTCGCTCCATGATTTAAAGCCACCCCAACTTGGTTTAGAAATAAAAGGCTTATAAGAATATTAGGCAAAAGTTACATTCAATTACGTGCAAACTGTGATGTGCTCCATACCCTATAATGGAAATATAGTTAACAGAATAACAAATCACTAACTTTAAAAAAAATGTCATCACATTAACTTCAAAGCGCATACGTCATGATGAATTGTAACACCCTTGAGGGGGCAGGAGTATTTTTTCTTTAAGTTTAAATAAGACCAAACGAGTGTTGTGGGTTCAAACCCCACATGGGACGACACTTTGTGTGATCCACAAATTGTTGTTCTGAGTCTGGGTGTTCTTTGTGTCCGTTTCATGTATGTTTGTAAAGTCCCCCGCGACACAGGATTTATTCCTAATGCGGGCGTTGTCTTTTTAAAAAAAATAAATAAATAAATAAATAAAGTAATAAACCTTTATACACTACAATTCCAAATGATCCTTTATCTAACGTAATATTTTTTTATTTGAGGACTAGTCTATTAATTTAATGATCAGTGATCCTGACTGCTAAGAAAGAGGTCTTGGGTTCGATTCGCACCCAGAAAAAATATTTGTGTGATGAGCGCAAACATTACTTCTCAATCTAGGTGTAATTTATCATAAATAACATGTATTTATTTAGAAATCATCTGCCTCACCTTATCTTAATTTTATTTGGGATCGGCGCAGTAAGTATCATTCTTCCATTCTACTCTATCATTCGTCATTTCACTGTTTACCCTTACTTTCCTTTTCTTAGATCTTTCTCTTCTCTTGTACCCCTCCACTCCCATACCTAACACTTTCTTCGCTACGTTTTTCTCATCATATGTCATGTCATGAAATATGATAAGTATATTAATCAGCGTCTGATAACCATGACAGGCACTGCCTAAACTTAAATCTGTACCGTACCGCAAGTAGCTAGGCCTTCTACATATATTTCACTATATTTAACAATAAAGTGAAATATTTGTTTATATTTTAATACGTTTTTGTTTAAAATAAATGTTGTGTACGGAATCATATCATGTTTCGTCTACTTCATGTTTATATCTCGAAGAAGTGAAGGCAGCTAGAATTTTTAAACAATATCTATACAAATGCAAAATTTTGACTGCACGGATGGCGTAGTGGTTTAAGCGGTCACCACGCCGCTTCCTACTACGCCGAGTGTTGTGGGTTCAAACCCCACATGGGACGACACTTTGTGTGATCCACAAATTGTTGTTCTGAGTCTGGGTGTTCTTTGTGTCCGTTTCATGTATGTTTGTAAAGTCCCCCGCGACACAGGATTTATTCCTAATGCGGGAGTTGTCTTTTTTAAAACAAGAACAAGAAATATATAAAATTGAAGTGTCTGTTTGTAATGTGAAAATAATACACTATTTGCATGCTCACACGGCATAGATATCGTGCAAATAACAATATCTATGCCTAAAAGCCAATTCATTTTTTTTTGTCTGTCTGTCTGTTTGTTTCGGATAATCTTCTTAACGGCTGGACAGATTTTGATAATATTTTACTACCAGGTAGCTGTCTATATAAGAAAATATAACTATATATTCTTCTAATTATTGCAGCCTATTTAAATCATCATCATGATAATTATGACGATGATGATGATTGCAGCCTGTTTAAAATTTATTGGTCTTTTAATGTTTATACGTATCACAAAATATTTAATTTAAATTAATCGGATCAATTGACAAGCAAATAAAAAAAGGTAGATGACCACAGTGACCAACACGTGTTATGTTTCCAAATGGGCATATTAACGTGTCAAGTTCATATTTATTTTTCTTCAAGGACTTTTTCAGTCTTTTAAAATTACGTTTTCCATAGTTTTTATCACAGTCAAAAACGAAAGGTACACTTATAACAACGCACCTATTTATAAACCAAAAACAATAAAGCGTGTAGTGTAAAATTTATCATACGCCGCTAAGTAATAGTTAAAAGTTAAGTAATAGTAAAATTGTTACCAAACTCAGGTACCTAGTTCATTTTGTATTAACCTCATAAGTCCATTCCGTTAAAGTACGCTGCCCTTGTGTATACTGTCACCTTTTGCGTTAACAACCATAAACATTACGTTTACGCGTAGCTTAATAGCTTGCTAAAACTGCATTGCGCTATCAAAGTGATCTTGATTAGAGGCACTGCCCATTTAACCGCGACCGAATGAACGCATCCCGTAGTAAACAAAACAGAAATCAGTGCGAGTCGCGTGGATAGTCATAAGGAACGCTCGACGCTCGCAGTCCATTCCGCCGCGAGTCGTCGGATACGCCGCACGTACCGTCATCATGATAGATTACGCGCGACCCTACGAAACGCCGAACATGTGCGATCTCTACTACCCGCCTGCGTCACCCGCGCCCGCGCGTCTCGATGACTTCCAAGTCTTCAAGAAGGGTACCGCTTCACACATTTACGGAAACTATTACTCGAACCCAACTTACGATACATATGGAGAACCAGAGCTGGATAACACCGTCAACATTTACCACAATCTCGTCAGCTGTCGGGAATATCACCGCGATGACTGGAAGTACAAAATCGTCATCGATTGGAATGAAAATGATACAGTGTCTTGGCTCGTTGATGCCGCTCAGTGTATGGGATTATCCGAGTATGATATACCATTTCAAAACTTTAACATAAATGGTATTGAACTCAGAAATATGAAGCGAGAGGACATTTTGCAGCGAATGGCCCACCCGAACATAGACCCATCCACATCTCGGAGAATAGCAGATAGTATATTTGAGAAGTTACATAGTCGTTTGAATGAAGAACTCCGTCAGTCCTCGATATTCAGATACGCAGAAGGCGATCCTTACGCACATCATGAACCTACAGTGCTCGATTTGGACTCTCTTGATCACAAAAACAGATTGTACCATTCAGACTACACTCCAAATGACGCTACTCTCCTTCATCACGCTGATTCGAGCGACGATACAGAGGACGTATTCCCCTCAGCATCATCTCCGGACTGCTCATACGGTAGTGATGGTAGTAAGTCTGGAGACGAAGATGACAAAAGGAAAATCTTCAAAAGACCGCCAGGGAGACCGAAAGGAAGCGGGCGGAAGACGTTCAAGCGTCCCAGAAGCGTGTCAGTTCCTGAGTTCTTAAGAAATTTGCTGTTGGACTCTCAATACTGCCCGTCTATTATTAAATGGGAGGACCATTCTCAGGGAAAGTTTAGGTGAGTTGTAACATAATTTGTTTGTTTGTACGCATGAAGAGTTAAAGTTTGCTGAAAAAAAGTGTGGTTGTCGTGACTTATATATTTGTTTACAATTGCATCTTATGTTACCGCTCATAAATATTTATCACGTCTGAGGCACGTGGTCCAGCACCGGACAACAATAAACTATTTTACTGCTAACTATTTAATGTTGTCAATAGATGCTTATGGAACATTAGTTTTAGCCATTCGACTCATCCAAGTGTCTTTCAATTGTCTGCCCATATTTTGAAGAGTGTCTATTAACTATTGGCGAGAGATAACATGGAAATAGATTATTTTAAATTAACGATAAAATGACTTTAGTGATGACTATAACTCGTTTATTTTATTGCAATTTTATAAAAAAACTACTATGTGAGACTCATCTAGGTCTAAAATTTTGTCGTTATAACGGTTGAAAATGATCCAGGCCTTTTATAAATAATGTTTCAATGAATTACATATAAATGTCACTTATTGTTGATAATTTCCCTAGGTAGTTTGTATAGAATTAACTATAAATGCAAAATATAACTTTATTAATCATACTTGAAAAACTAATCATACAACACAAAAGTTGTAAATTGTAATGTTTGTTAATTAGTTAAACAATAATCAGTTTTATCAGCGTTATCACTAAATTCATTATAATTTATGCATTTACAATAAGATATATGTACATATAAACGATTCGATGACAATCCCTTAATTTAAGACCATATGCATTTTAACACAAACTTAAACCCTAGCAATTAGCAACGATTGGAATACAACGCAGATAGAAGCTGCGTTTCTACAATTGTTGATTATTTATTTGCCCTTACAGCGACTAATAAAGATGCAAGATGACAACCACGCGGCCTTGCTTATCTTTACAAAGGTCATTATTAAGAATCATTTGACACGCAATCTATATTAAGTACTCGATAATTAATAGCTGACGTTTAATTGGTCTAGAAAATGGAGCATACAATGTTCTGTCTAACATTTTATAGTTCAGTAAATTGTGCGAAGATTCCTCTGAGAAGGGAATAGGTCTACCACATTTAAAATGATAATTCTTGATGTCAAGATCAGTAGCTTGATGCACTTTAACGACTTTTTTATAGGGCTAACCACCTCGGTCTTCGCAAGCTAATGAAACATGATAATACTTCTTAACTAGTCTCATTACTGTTTCAAGGAGATCATATAGTATATCTAGTATAAATATTCTATTATTATCAGCCTATTTAACTTTTTTGGATTTGAAGAGAAGGAGAACCTCGTCAAGTCGTCAATTCTTTTTATTTACTTGAGGTTTTTGGAAAATTCTTTTCTTATTTTTCAAAACAGAGAAATAAAACTTTTAAAGTTACACATAATTAAAATTTAAAATAGTTTTTAAATGAAGAAATACAAGTACTCGTACTCACATTCGATATCTTTTTATATATTCTTCGTTCATTGAGAACCGATTTCAAAAAATATTTTTTACCAGAATAAATTATATACAAGGTTGGTGCCACAATAAAGCCAAATTATTGACCCCTTAATTTCCCAACCTCGTATGTGGAGTGTTTTTTTTTCCGTTTAACTGGCACTAACCTTTGCCGCAATTTATTTTGCTAAAAAAACTTTTTGAAATCGGTTCTAAATGAGCAAAATAAATTGTTGTTTATGATGATTTAGGGATTTTCGTCCATTATTATAAATTGATGATACTTTAAAGTTTGTTGGCTTCCATTTTCTGAATCCATCCATCGTTTTTTAGGATCATCGACATGAATGATTGGCTTAGCAAATATTCCATAGTTCTTACAATAAGTTTATTCTATAGTTTTATTTGTTGTTTTTATCTGCCACCTCAACCTTGTCGCGCCGGTTCGCGATGGCCTTGCACATTGGTTCACATGTTGATGTTACTTTTGAAATAACTATTTTAATTTCATTCTTATTTCTAATCTGGTTAAGTCTATATTTTGTTATAGCTCGTATAAGTAAAACGTCTTTAAATTGGTAATGTAGAATTCCTAGTTTATCTAATCCTATATCTTAAGATAGTCTCACTAAGGACTATTTTGCAGTATTTGTTGAATATTATTCATCTTGCAGTGGTAATATTTCTATTTTATGGTCTTGTTAAATATATTATTCTGAACTATAATGAAAACAGTATCTGCATAAAGTTATAAAAAGTGTTTAGAGTATTGTTTACTTATTATTTATTGAAATTAGTTTTAACTTGTCAGTTTTATTAAGCAGTTATGGCCATAAGTTGTCCGAATATGAAATATGGAGCACTGTAACAGCAGGTCTCTGTTTGATTACGCTTAGTTAGTAGGTTACAAAGTACTTGTAACCTTTGGTTTAAAACAAGTTAATTACACTTAATATCTTCTGAAAGGTCACCGCCGCCGCGCCGGTACTGTACAGCGGTATTGCTATTAACTATGAATGTATGCAGTTTTGATCGTCAGACAGGGCAGAAGCTCCAACCGGTTTCTTGTTAGTCTTAACTAGTCTTAGGCTTCAGTTTACAAGTTTGCTTTGCATAATTTATAATGATGTGATCAAGAAATATATATATATATATATATATATTTAATAATAGTGTAACTATAGATACATATATTTGATGGTATCTATCCAAATGATAGCCCGAAAAGTCAATTTATGATATTCAGGAAATAGGCCGCGAAAATATAGAATTTAACATCGGAATTTCGTCCTATAGAACTTTATCTCAATTGAATCAAAATGTCCTCATTGAATTTAAAGGTAGATCCCAAAACTGTGCTTCTATAATAATACCCTGTATTGTCGCCGAGGAAATATTTTTTTATCTTTCGGCTTTCCAAACAAGAGCACGATATTTTACGTCTTTTATTTTTGTACCAAAACCTCCTTTCTAAGGAGAGGCCTATGTCCAGCAGTGGACTAGTATAGGCTGTTGATGATGATGATGATGATGATGATGATTTTTGTACTGTCAACTGACACTATTCTATTATTTTGTTTGGGAGTTTCGTTAGGTTACTACCGTAAACAATCATCATCAAAAATATCCGCATATTATGACCGCTCTGGTAATATCATCAATACGAAATAGTATATGGACAGATCTTTATCTGTACAAATGTTTAGTGATGATTGATGATTATGATTAATTTGAATTGATATTGACATAGATGCATTTATTGAATTAGTTTTAGATAGTACATACGCGATAGTTAAACGTTATCTGGTATTTAATTAGTTTTATATTTATTTTGCTATTTCATGGCTCTGTTTATCTCTTAATGTTTATTTTGTGTAGAATATCTGCTTTTTTACTTGTCTACTGTCCATGTATTGCGTTTTTTGTGTATCTTTTTTAATTCGTCGTTTTTGTCAGCTTACAACACGACCGTCGGAAATGAAGTGGCCAAAATCTGGTTTTGTCTTTAATATGGTGTCTAGTTTAAATTAATTATCTTGCTAACAATGGTAGTTTCAATATTTGATGTATCACTGTATTTCAAGTAATTACAGTAACTATCAGGTATCACGCTATGTTGCCGTTATGTGTGATTACAACAATATATAAATTTGATTAACTTCAAATAATTCACTTGCTAATTAAGAGTAGATCATATATTGACTGGTCTGTCAGTGTAGTGAAAGAAAGAAAGAAAGAAAATTTATTAGCATATGCAAATTCCTTACAAAAATGCAGATAGGACTGCAGCTCAGCATACTGTGAATGGATGTCGTCAGAAAAAAACAAATGACAGTCTCGCAATTTGAAAGTAACATGTTCGCAAAAAGTTCCATTTTCGAATACCATAATTGTTTCCATAATTGTTTAATTGTTTTATTGTAAGTTGACAGATCTAGAGACTCAGTATGCCCCACGTACTCATATACTACTACTATGATAATACTGCGGCAACGCACCTCGGTCTAGTGGTTCGATTCCCACACAGGACAAAAATTGTGTGATGAGCACTGTCATTTGTTCTATGTCTGGTTGTAATTTATCTATAATATTTATGTATTTAAAAATATATAAGTATGTTTATTAGCATTCTAGTTATGTGTTTTATTATTAGTCTACGTACGAGTATAAACTCAAATCAAGAACTAGATCTAAAATACCATCAAAACAAAATGTAACATTTAACCTTTTTACGAAGTACGACCATATACAATTGGGATGTCTCTAAAAGTATCAAACCTCTTTGATACATCTATTGTCCCTTATTGTCTTCTCTATTGTCCCAGTAAAGAAATAAACAAGTTTTATGATCTAAAACATTTTCCCAATACCCACTTAACCATAGAGAAAATCTGCCCATTCTCTTAAAATCAACAAAGTACGTACCTTGATAAAAAAGTATTAGCCTTTTACACGTGGCTCCGCGTTAACATAAAAAGGATCGCTTTTAATGGAAAGATTTCCTGGAAACAGCCTATCCACGTGTTCGTGGGCGTTTCAGCTGTTTTTAAAATAAAACAACTTTTAAAATTATTTAACATTTTGAAGGCAGAAAATAAAGTGAATGGTAGGGTTAAAACAGAATGTATTTTTTTCTTATAATGCATGTGTGTCGAGCGTGAAAAATGCATTTTAACTTGTATGTTTGAAGTACAAAACTTAGCAGCCACATTAAGTAGGAGTTCATCTCATTCGGTACATACAAGTTGGTCGGAAGGGAGGGGGCCCAACTAGGGCGTCCCCCGCCTGCACCGTAGTACTATTATAGATTTTTTCTTTTTCTTCCGGGGGTTGCTACGCACCGCCAAGGACGGCACGAGCTTCCGGTTACTTTGCCGGGATACACGTGGACTCACGCCTATTTTTGTCGGTAAAATATTTCTCAGAAAAATATTATGATTTATTTTTCTCCATAGTAGTGATTAATTTGGATAATACCGGTGGGTGTTCTTAATTAGATTGTATCAATATTTAATTATCTGATATTGTTTATTTATTTTGGGTTGATTGTGAAATA